TGGCCGACCACCGCAAGTCATTGTATAGGCCACATACGCACTCATTACGCCATACGATTCTGAGTCGAAGTCGAGTGCGGGGGCGCATCCCTCAGACGGGTCTGATTAACGCCAAACGCTTTATCCATTATCCTTCAAGTTCTTAGTCGAATGTTCAGATTTTGACATAGCATGCTTTCCAGAATGTGTCTTTATCATAAATTTTTTTTTATTTCAGCAAATTGTCATAACTCGTCGAGTATGGGTATCAGGATCGTGTGCATGTTTTGTTTTGATAATAGCCTGCTTTGTACCATTTTTGTGGCCATTGTTATTTTTTCTGTGTACACCACGTTTCAAAGATGCACATCATCATTGTCCATACTGTATGACTCTACTCTCAATTAAACGGAGATGACCTGTTTGGATGAAAAACAACACTGCCTGTGGATTATTAAATATTTGTAAACAACATATATGGACGGCCGCTGTCGATTTAAACAATTGGGTCAAACGTGCCATCAAGAATTTGCATATATTTCAAAATAAAGTTTAATATGCACGTTTTGTTCTTGATCAGTTCCGTCTCTGGACGAACCTACACATTGCACTTCCATTCGAGTGCTATGACGAATGAAAGGGCAAGCTGATGAGTAGGTTGATGCTTATAAGCTCCCAAATAGGTCTGACACCAGCGAATCGACCTCAGAGGAACTGACCGGTTTGGTTGACGCAGAGATCGACGATCTGGGATTTAACTCCTTGACAACATGTACAGGTGCCACTTAGCGCTTCAGCAACCCCTCCATTTTTTCAAGAGCAGTATAGAATTAACGGAGATGCCAGGAAGTGAGCAGTAAGATACAAATTCTTTGAAAATGAATTGATAATTCTCGCTCGGTAAACTAGTAAATGTTCCACGTCACCAAGTAAATAAATAAATAAGCAAATAATTATTCGGATATGCTTTGAAAAATCAGTTTTTTTTTGCTTTTTTTTTTCTTGACGAGTTTTTCGAATTTTTCGAACATCAAAAGTATGCGTAAATAATGCATGTAGGGCCAACTTCGAAATTTTCAATTCTGAGAACCCACATGAGTGCAACAGTAGAGTACCATGTCTAGGAGTTATCCACGACATTCATATTCATGGCTGTAAAAGTAGTGTGTTAGATAGCCTTTGGAAGCCGTTTAACCAACTAATAGAAGCAATCATTCATCTCCATCATTCATTTGCATCAGAAGAGTGCACAAAGTCTGGCTAATTGCCATCAGCTGGCCATATTTGGCATAGCAAGTCTCAACTTGCCCTCATTTGGCATGAGTTGGGTCGAGTAAACATATTTCTCGATGAGTAGCAAACTCAGCTAACCTGATCCCATTATAGGTTTATGGGTGATTTCGAGGACCAAAGAAACCGTGGTGAGGGGTCCTTCACTGGATTACCTGCGTGCCCTTGGGATCTCGAACTTCAGTAGGGTTATGGAGACGGTTGAAAGGGTATTCACAAGTTGCTTCTAATCCATTAGGCTAATCTTTCGGCCATAACCAATCCTGCTTTGGAATGCGCACCGCATTCGACTTTCACCAAAATTGCTGTGACATTTGAATGCGCATGTGGTCTATACGATCACTTGCTCTGGCCTTTTGACTCACAAGTCAGAGTTTACACTCTCCCATATAAGTCTACTACCGGATAGTCGACCTCCGTAGATGGATGCCCTGGTTCTACTACGTTAGTCTCGAACCGCGTTTTCATAATGGAACCTTGCAGGTGACAGTGCACGCCGTAACTTGCCATTACACCACCTTTGCTACACTGACTCACTACTATAGAGAGACGTTTTGTTTTTTCTTAATTGATCACAAGTTTCGCATATTTAAGACGAAGGATAAGGGGAATGCACATATACCCTGGGTATGAATCTTATTCAAAGAAAAAAGTTCAATTTTTTTAGATTTTAATGAAATGCTCCTACTCATAATCACGATTCTGAAAAGCGAGTGTACTGAGTACCGGAAATTGAGGAGCCCTCCCAGGGTATCTATGAATTGGGGTCCCTGGGTGAACATCCTTTCCGAAAAAAGCTCATTTTTTAGTTTGCCTATTGCTACCCTCTAGAATCTCTTATTCTCTTTTAAGTCGAGGTTTTTGGATCGTGCTTGGCGACCTTTGTGAAGAAAAGTGCATGGAAGCGCATTGGCTTTTGAATTTTCAGGGTCAGATAATATCTCACTAATTTCTATGGGCATGGATTTTCCAAACTCCTCAAATCGGTTTTCCTGAGTTTTTTTTTGAATCGCTACATTCCCAATGAAAAACACTTTTCGTCATTTGAGTTCGATTCCACATTCTCTCTATAGCTTTTTTGAAAGAATAGGAAATCGGTGGAAAATTGTATTTACCCATGTTAGAGAGGTCACCATAGGGGTAGTACGCGCACTACCCCTTCCTGGATTGAATGGAGACGTACATATGTTTGTTGAACTAGTCCCATGAACGGTATGTATACGCAACCGGGAAAGTATTGAATTGATTCACACTAGGTCCAATTGGTTTCGGGGTTCAAGAATGAGCGACTGAACTTTTAAAAGGTGTAAACCAAAGATCATGGAAGAGACCACTTTGGATGCTATTGAGTGAAGGGTAAGGCTCAATTTATAGTAACTCCAGCTGCTGAAGGGAAAAGAGAGCAGAATAAGGGATAGGGATCCCAACGGGCTCCAGAAAAATATTTTTTCGAAGAAAATGCCCCAGAGTAACTGATTTTTATGGGCCCTTTTGCCGCTGGGATACTCGAAGAATGCATCGATTTCCTGTATCCGAATCAAATTGAATAGAAATGAAATCCTGCTAGGTTGAGAATTAATGTGCCATGGATCGAGTGGAGCCGTTCAGTCTAAAACCTACTTAGAAGCGAGACTCTCGACTTTTGCACCCCAGACCAGCAAGCAGGAGCAAGACTGTTGGTGAATACAGCAATATACTATGCAGTTCACCATATGCTAAAGCTCATACCAGTTCGAACTTTTACACCCTCTGTCGCCAAAGAACCAATTACCTTCTCTGTTATACTTTCCATGACATACTCGATCTTGTTCTGGCCATCAAACTACCCACTCCCCTTTTCTCCCCGAATCCTTTTAAGGGGAGGAGAAAATTGTTGCTGCTAATCGATCGCATCGGCGCATTTCCAGCCCGCAATCCGCTGCCGGCCGCTTTCCCTGTTTCGGATTCGTCCCCCATTTCCCATCGTCACCCGCTATCGCCAGCCACCGCCGCAGTCTCGCTATACCCGTTCCTATCCACCCACCGAGGTTTTGCATTGCCTCTTCAGGTATGTCTCCTGTGAAGGAACATGGTAATTAACCTTGACCGTTACATTCGGTTGAGAAGGCCACTCTGACGGCTTCCTTCCCTCCATCCCTATAAACTCAATGAGGTAAAGAGCCTAAATAACCTCAACTAGAGGACATTTACCAAAGTAAGTGGGAAGTCATCGAGCAGGACGTGCCTCCTGTTTAGTGGTGGGTTATGATTCAGGTACAAGTCATTTCAAAAGTCATTAACTTTGTACCTCAAGTAGGCAAAGCGGGCTGAAAGTTTCCCCACCCAGAAGCCCTCTTATGCTCCGTCACAAGCTCTGGCGGTTCAGAATGGCCTATTGGTTCCAGTCTTAGATAGGTCGCCAAACTTCCGTAGTCAAGACCCCCTACAGGGAGAGATTACATGAAAGCGCAATCGGGCCGGTGATGGGAAAAGGTTGAACTTTTCTTCTCGAAAACCTTTCCAATTTTAATTTTTTTTTTCTGTTCGAACCCCCACCCTTCAATGAACCTTGTTTTTGAGTTTTTCCGCAGAACTTGAAATTACTTCGACTAGGATTGGCCTGCGTTACCCATTCCAGCGGGGGTAGCCGGTTCATATCGATTCAAGGCATTTGGCCAGTAATTTACAGCACCGACTCGTCCAAGCCTGCAAATGACTTGCAGATGAAGGAGCGCTTGGCTTGGGCTCAGATTTCTAATCCGTAAGTCATTTCGGGGCCTTCTCGTAAGTATAGAACAACCCTGGCAAGAATCCTGGTCGACTCTGAGGAAAAGGCCTTCCCACAAATGAGGGAGGTGTTCGGTCCCAAGGTCTTTCTTAACCAGTAATCGCCATTCTGAAGGACACACGGGACGTTCAGAAACTTGGCTGCCCTGAAATTCAACAGGCTTCTGAGATGAACCCTTCAGGAGGAGCCCAATGTAATGTCGTTTTCTCCTTACATTTTCCATCCTTTCTTTCTTTTTCCACCACCCTTTTTGGCCCAATCAAAAGTGCTTCCCCTAATAAGCCGTAAAATAACTTCCAGTGAATTGGACAACTCTTTCAGAAAAACCCTTTCAAGTCGACTTTTCATTGTCTCCTTCGCCAAAACAAGTCTATCATTACTTGAACGACTCGCCGATCGATCTGGGCAAAAGAGTAGTCGCCTAGTCTGCAAGGTCTGGGCTTCTCTTCAGCTGGCAAAATCATCTGGGCGCCCGTATCGTGTTATGAGGGACAGGTGTTATTGCGAAGATAAGTGCAGCGGAAACATGAATGGCGATCCATACGAAACCGTGATTTCGAAGGGAAGTAATGTGCATGGCTTATTCTCCGACTGATAATTTCTTGAGGCTATACTGATACCCATAAGTAACGTTTATTAATCTGCATTTAACTACTTTTTCCTCGTGTCCCAGGGACTTATATGGTGACCTTTAGCCAATTATTGAGCTCACTCCCTCGTCATGGATGTTAGGTTGGCTGGGAGGAGAGATGGAGGCCGCGGCTAATGTGTCCTCCCTCTCTCCACGCTCGATAGACACTCTCCGCGGATAAACCACCATTTCCAACGCCGAATTACTTGACCGCGTTAGCTATCGATCGTGATTCCCAGTAAGATATTGTTTTACTTCGCCTAATTGTACTCTGGCTACTGTAAAATTCTTTTTAGGAATCTATTTTCCTATTTTTTACAAATTATGTTTGAAGATCGTGGTTAAAATGTTCCAGAATAGTTTTGCCCTTATGAACTTTTCTCATCTGCTTTTCCTACTTTTAGTGGGTCATGCCCTCTTCTCTCTCCTTAAAATGAAACTTCCACGAAGGAAATATCCGTAGGATTACCTGGTGTCATTTCTTTTTATCCAGGCAAGCATTACAACACTCTCACCACTGAAACCAGTGGTCGACCCAGGACAAAGATATAGCCATCTGCTGCACGGCGAAGACATCCGCTTATCTCTGGGAACGACCACATGTGGGACACTCCTACAAAGACATCCGAAATGTCTTCGCAATCCTACAGTAAACTACAGTATAGAAGGCCTTGGGGGAATAAACATAGCGCAGCGGATAGGGTCACTAGCTAATGAGAAGTTTGTATCCCACTAGACGCCTTTTCATCCTTTTTTTGCATCCTTGAGCGTCACTACACGTCATTGCCGATCATCGCTGAAAGAAGGCCCCCTCTGAGCTAGACATTACTCCAGTGTCCGGGAGGTTCAGAAGAGCCCTGGTGCAACTTCGGAAGGGTTGTGTGGAGTGGAGTGTTCCCGAGGAAGTGGCCACTGTTGCCAGTTCTCTCTCCTGTCCATTCTTTTTTCCACTTAGCTGCATATGTTGCAACTGGATTTTTGCCCACGTAAGAGATAGATTCATTTGACTCCAGCCCCTCGACAACCTGTTTCTGGGCTCGTTAAATAATATCCATCAATGAATTATGTTGGCAAATGCAATCCCACGGGCACTAACATTCGTCATCGTCACTTTGGTGCCCAAGGTGGGAAGGTAGTGCGGGAAGGGGGGGGGNGGGGGGTGGGGGGCTTGGAACGTATGGCACCTAGGGTGTCAGTGTGGAAAAGGGAGGCGTTTTTGTCCCCTTTATGTGCCTGATAGCTCCCGGTTCGTTTTCCAAGAGTCGTCACATATGAACGCTCCAGTAGCTGTACCTCCTGGTTATGTATTAGGCCAAGCGATAGCCATGAGAGTCACCTGTGAGAACGAACTTCAGACAGGCGCCATGAATAAGCGGATCACGCCTCGTCATGGACTCGCTGTAGTAGTTAATCAGGATCGTAGCCAATATTCCTGCTGGAATCCTCACGATTGGCTTGAATTTGCCTGATTTAACTCCACCGCACTTAAATTTTAAACCAGTTGATGTTAGGAGGGTAATGGAAGTTTATTTATGCAAACAATATTGGGTTCAACATTATTCTATTTATTTTTTGTTATTTTATTTTTTTTATATTTTACTTGTTCATTTAATCTCATATTGTTTTTTTTGTATATGTTCATGATGACATCTGAACGACTGCTGAGGATACCGAAAAATCTATTTAATTGAAGATTATATCAGCCAGTTTTAATTTGGAAAATTACTACAAATTAAAAATTATGGGATCCCTCGAGCTGGTTTGGTAAGACCTCGACCCCTTCTTAGCTGTTGAAATGCGGTAGAATTTTTGTTTATGGTCCTGAAACGAACCATCTAAAACTGTAGTTTTCAGAACGGTTCGTTCTGTAAGCAGAAATCAGGTCAAAATATAAAGTATCTCTATATTTAATGACCAATCCCTATTGAGACACTCATTTGGCTTCTATACGAATCGCCCAGCCATTTGGATACAGATTCAAGTTAGTTAGTCTGACCTACTACAAATCTGGTACCAATTAGCCAAAGCTAGTAGGCAGGTGGGAAGAGGGGTGTCATGGAAACCGTGGTTAATCTGGGTGGAATTCGATCTCATTAGCGGGTAAAGCTTTTGAAGCGAGACTACTCGTCACCACATAGCATTGTTCAAAAAGAATCGATGATGTGTAAAAAAAGGGCAGGGCTTTTTTGAGGTTTTTCCAATCTTTTTTTGTTCGGCCCACACTATCAACCCTCAATCGAATTCGCGGTGGTGTTTGTGCGTGAATGAACACCCACTACGCCTGCAAATACAATTCGAATGTGTGGGCGCAATAAAAAATGAAATTGATCGACATCAAAAAAGCTACCGTTTTTTTAATTCTCACCCCTACGGCCTATACAATGGCTTGCAGCGGCCAGCCGATTTGTGAGGCAGTGCTCCTCTGATCCACATGAGGTTGGCAGGTAGCCGACTCTTGAAGAACGTAAGCCTCGGTTGGTTTGGGTGGAACTTGATCTAGGATATCATCGGCTGTTATGCCTGAACAGAGGGAGTACTAGCCCCTACACTAGCTCTCTCTAAGGATAATCGACATTGATCATTGACCACATTGCATTGATGACTTTACAAGGCATTAAGAAAATAAATAAATGAGTAAACAAACAAGTAAGTGAATGACCCACTATCAGTTACTGGACTTGGCATAACAATTAGGAGCTTGTCTCTGGGATAGCAGATGATTATCATTCCAATCCCTCCTATGGCCAACTTTTTGATCCGTCCTAACACCACATGAAAGAGCTCAGAGGACGGTCATACCTTCAAGAGGAATTTGCTTCCTTTAGTTCTGAGAAGCCTTGCACCAGAGCTTAGTTTCCTTTGGGACGTTTTTACAGGAGAATCATTTCCTAATGGATATCTTGCAGCGGCTAGGGTAGTTCCTGTGGGAGGGGAAGGATCGATAGTTTCACAGGGGATTACCTTTATTCAGCAAGTTTTCTTCTACTGCATCGGATACAGTCGGGGTCAGATGCTAGAAATTTTCTTCATTTCATCTTACTGACCTTGGGAGTGTCTCCATAGAAATCTAAAGCGTAAGAACTGTTGACTGGTGGTGTGAACGGGCAAGGGATGGTAATCGACGCACTATCCCATGGGGGTAGTTACGAGTGTGGGCAACTGGTAGATCGATCAATATAAACTGGTAGCCCAGAGATGAGTCAGTAAATGCAGATTAGCGCGCCCCAATGACAATATTCACGGCACGACGGCGTTTGCATTCATGAAAAAAAAAATCGGACGGCACACTGCCTTTTTTGTATGATCTTCTGGTTATTTACGTGAAAATCCCTCAACTACATTTCCTACTATTTTCATTCTGAGCATTTTTCGTTTATTTCCTGTTCATTCTAAATAGAACTAAGTTTTCCTTCCTTTTTCGTCCTTTCCTTTTTCGGTAACAGCTTATCAAATGGAATGTTGATGTCTCTAATTGATGGCGTCTTTCATGTGAGATGAATTGAGTGTTACTGAACGGAGGCGTTTTCATTTATACTAAAGCATATCGTGTTTGAAAATCGAAATTTTCTCTGTTGACAATGAAGTGCGCCATGCACTTGTCATCTGTTAACTTTAGCGGAGGCATTTGATTACGGTCCAGGATGTGTACATTGCTTATGAGAGCAGCCCTTGTTCCATGCAGTGTGACAACTTCCTTACAAGTTCGTGCCATATTCAATTCCTTTCAATGTTACAATGTTTGGTTGGGATTCGATCTATGGACCATGTTCGTGGTAACGTCCCTTTTTGAAACCCCATTTTTGTTCCTGCACCAAGTTACCATCTGGACAGGGAATATGGCGGGGTACCTTTCATTCTATGAACAATATCCTAAAGGTATTATTTACCTTCGAGAATGCACATGATTTAAATACAGTGAAGCCTTCCGCTTCGAGTCCCCACTAGTCGACTTGCTTGGGTTCCCCAAATCTGTTGCCTCTCTGTGCGTTTTGGATTGGGTACCTTGACCTCGTGAAAAGCCTTTCCTTTTATAATGGAAAGCATCTCAGACACCCGAATAAGACTCCAGCAGCGCGGTTTCCACTAATCTTTCTTCTTTTTTCTCCCTCTCTTCCTCCGTTGCTCCTTTTCGGGTGGGCCCTCTTGAGGTTTTTGTGTTGGTTGGCTTACTCTTGGGTGTAACTCAACAAATAAACAAATAAACATTTACCATAAACAGCTATTACTTTCTACGATCTTCCTGATTTTTAGAATCCCTAATAATCGGCAGAGACATTTTCACACTTCGGGATTGGATGGCCATTCTCAGCAACCTATGAATAGGTTCGCGCAGTGGCTGCACATTATTTATCGCTTTCGCATAAATTGTTGGTTCGATCTGCCGACTAATAGGCTTTAAAAATCCCTTCAAGCCACATCCTCTCGTGCTTCCGTCGCCCGGAGATTTTTCGAGTTTGTATCAGGAGAGGGAAAGCAAGATGGTTGACCCTCACCCTCCTGGTTGACATTGTGGAAAACATTTCCTCGTCCTCGATAGTAGGCAGCTACATGATTGCTAAGTCATGTTTTGACCACGGTTTGGATTTCGGAAGGCGAGCCCGTCTGCTTGAGCCCCATGTCCCGCTTATGACACCCTGGCATTGTGACACAAGCGGAGCATGAGGGTCGCATCGGATGGAATCTGCAGGCCGACTTCCAGCACAATTCAATGCACGCACCCTTTGCTGAATGTTTATTTTGTCTAATTATCTTTGTTTAATCGAGGGATTCAATAAAGTAACTAGTAAATGGTGAGGGCTTTGTAAATAGTCTGGGCAGGCATGAGAGGTAAATTAGAAGGGAGGTGAGGGATATAGGAAAGGGAAGGGAACTGAAAAACGAGAAGACCGTTGTACGAAGAAATTTCACAGAGAATCTGGGGACTCTAGTCTTCCTGACACCCCCTTCCTTCAGGAAAGAAAGCGGTTTGCTATTGTTAGGATCCATTTGATTATAGCTGCTCTGTGTTGCTTCTACGTATGGATTCTACCCCTCTCTCTGTTCTCTTTGTGGATTTCGTCGGAAATATTCTCCCAATTGTACCCTCAGTGCTCTCTCAACCAAGTAAGCAGGTGTTTTGTTTTTAGAAATGAGTCCGAACAGCTCATCCGGATTACATCAACTGCTCCTAGGTCTGAATGACTTGGAAAGGAGGAAAAGTGAGTGCACAACGAACTCTGTCTTCTTGACCACCTTCGAAGATAATGTTCTGTTCAGGAGCCGTCTCTGATAATATCCAGCGAAGGATCAAATCAGCCAATATGGTCCCTGCCGAGAACGAGTTGCTTTTTCAGATGGTGGCTCGGAATTTTCGCGAGTTCAATACGAAGTTCCTTGTAGGTAAGCTCTAGGTGACGTTTATCTCACCACAATCAAAATAATGAGTGGGGGAGGCGCGTGGTAGAGTCTCCTTGAGGTTGCGCCGTGCACTCGCCCTCCGCCCACTTCCGTGAGTATAGTTGAGTGCGTATTTGGCCTGAACAAATTCGTGTTTTTCACTATGGTCCATTACCAGGAACCAATCTATGTGTGAAGGAATTCCTGAACATTTTCTTACCGTGCCCAATAGTTGCAGGGAAAAAGCGGGGGAATACCTCCCGTCAACGACTTCTCGAATATTGGGCTGCACAGATCACCGCTCTTGGATTCAGTTCACGTTCACCGGAACAGATCCACGAAAAAGTCCGTAAAGCTGTAGATAGATGCCGCCGAAGTATAATTATCGAAAAGGTACTGAGTACAATTCCATTTAGGACCAACCTTAGCCTGATCTTCCTCCAATGCTCAAGTTTCAGCGAGCGGCTCTGCGTGGACTACCGGAACCACACCATAGCGACATTCCCTATTATTTGGAACCACTCAAGCAGGTGCTGCTATCGGAGGCTGAAGAAGCTCAAGCTGCTCGTCCTACGATGGTCACGGTGGATGATGACGATGGGTACTGTGACAGCAAAGAAGCTGTTCAGAATGAAATCAGAGCAATGAATGCACAACGTCCTACCTCGACACCATCGTTTGATACTCGATCATTCAAATTGCCTAGTTCGTCACAGCCTGGAAGCTCCGACCTCCCATCCAGATCTACTCCTGAAACAGATAATGGCCCTTTGGGGGCATTCTCGTCCCTATTCGATGACGCGCCTTCGACATCGTCCATGTCATGTATGGATAAGTGAGTTCTACTATCTTACTATTCAAATTCCTCCTTACTGTCAGAGATAGGATAGCGGTAGATGGAAGGATGGAGGGCAATGTACCCTGCATTAATTATTCCCGCTTCAGGATGCAACCACTAATTTGACTTCTTCGAGGACCGGTAGGGCAACTGAAAACCTTTTTTGAATTGTACAATGAATTCCTGAGGTAAACCACCACTTAAGAAGGGAGGATTCCCTCTCAAACGGCACCAACCGATTTACGCCCGAAAGAAAGGTCCGGTCTTGATGAGCAGCAATTAATTCGGAAACTGATGCTGAGACC